CCAAATCCCTACGACAAGAAGTTGAGGCCAGTAACCAATCCGCCGAAACCGAGCCACTTGATGCGGAAAGTCCCGAAAATTTTGTCAAGAGACTAGGAAAACTCAAAGAGTGTTTTGACCTAGCCCGTCTCAACCTGTCCCGAGCTTTTACCTCGCAGGCTCATTACTACAATCTGCGTCGACGAGACTGGAGATGCACTATTGGTGACCTAGTGATGAAGCGAGAACATACGTTGTCATCAGCCGTAGATCATGTGGCTGCGAAACTAGCTCCGAAATACTCCGGTCCGTACACCGTTGTCAAAGTCGTGTCTCCCGTCGTCTATAACCTCAAAGATGCTTCAGGAAAAAGACTCAATCAGGTGCATATAAAAGACCTGAAACCAGCCGTCGAGTCGGCTTAGACACGAACCTCACCCACCGTCGCCGCCCCTGTACCGTCTGGAAGGTAACGATCGATTGGAGTACAGGTAGACCTACGTCCACGACGCCGTTCTGTCGGCATTCAATGTTTCCGACAATGGTAGTTCCGAGTCCGACAATGGTAGTTCCGAGTCCGACGTAGGGTTTCCGATCTCGATTCGATCTTATCGAGAATCGATTTTTTGTATCACGATTTCGATTTTTTTGGATCGATTTTTTAAAGGATAGATCGATCTATATATCGGTGAAAAGTCCTGAGATCGGAGATCGATCCGAGCCCACCTCTTAAATTTTGCCCATGTACTTGTTGGGTGTTCTGTGGTTACCATAAATTGTCAAAAGAAATTATAAAATTCAACGGTCACCAGCTATCGTGAGTTGTGAGTGTTTTGTAGAACTTGTAGAACTTTGTTTTTGTTTATTATTGGATTATTGCAAAGTGAAAAAACAAAATGTCCAAAAAAAGTGATGTATGGAATCATTTTACCAAAATGGAAGTTGGTGGAAGTTGTAACATATATAGTAGGTGTATACATTGCCAGGTAGAAGTAAAAACCTCAGGAAATACAACGAATTTAAAAAATCATTTACTTCGTAAACATAAAGATTTAGTTTATAAGGGCAAAACTATTTTGTCTTTAGTTGAGAAAAGAAAAAAAGACAGTGGTGGAGGTAAAGGCGTAGAAAATGAAAAGCATGTTCGTATTAATTTGTATTTGTTTTTATTAACAAAAAATAAATATTATTTAATATTTTGTCATACCTAGTGTCGTCAATAGTAATAATGAAAATATGAAAAACGTATTAATTTTATTAGTAACAGTTATTGGTATGTTTTTTATGTACGTTTTAAATTAGTATGAGACTATGAGACTGGACTTAGGTAGTGGGAAAAATGTTTGATATGCATAATAACTAATGCCTGTTTTTACAGATTCAGTATAATAGCATCTTTTTTTACATTTTTATTTGTTGCTATTTTTTCTTGTTTACTTCAGGTTACTGCAGAGTCGATGATGGATGAAGAAAATAATGTGGAATATGTAGATGAAAATTCATATGCATCTATCAGCAGATCATCATCAGTGGAAACAGTTTCTTCTTGTAGTACATCTATTAGCAGTATACATATAAAAAGACAGCCAATGATTGAAGAATGTTGGTCAAATATTAAGGATTACAGAGGTGAGAAAGTATTAAGTGATGTTTTATATCCATGATCAGTATCTCTAGTTTGTTAGCCTATAATTAAGATTATTTATCTTTATTATAGATGGAGGAGGCAAAGCAGGAAAAATAACCAATGCCATTCTTTACATGATTGCTAGGGATGATTTACCACTGTCTCTAACTGAAAAAGAAGGTTTCAGGAATTTGATGAAAACAGTTGTACCACATTATAAACTGCCATCCAGAATGACCGTAGGCAACTTGATTGATGAAAAATATGAGTACTTATCAACAAAGTTGAAGGAACAAATCTTAAATGTGACAGCTTTAAGCTTAACTACAGATATCTGGACTGACACTCATAACACCAGAAGTTTTTTAGGTTTAACAGGACATTTTATACAAGCCAGTGAACTTAAATCTGTCACTTTTGGAATAATTGAGTTAGATGAGCGACACAATGCTGAATATTTGGGACAAACAATGACAGCAGCTTGTGAAGAGTGGAATATAACATCAGATAAAGTTGTTGCAGTAGTAGCTGATAATGCATCAAATATGGTAAAAACAATATCAGATATTTATGGAAAAAAGAAATACCTACCGTGCTTTGCTCACACCCTTGATTTGATTGCTTCCAAACCGACTAAAGATTTGGAATGTGTCAGAAATCTTGTGCAATCTGTAAGAAATATTGTTACACATTTCAAGCATAGTGTAGTAGCTATGGATGAGTTAAGAAAATTACAAACTGAAACCCAAGTTCCTCTTAAATTAATACAATCCGTTTGTACAAGATGGAATTCCACATTTTACCAAATGGAAAGATTTTTATTGCTTTCAGACAAAATTGCTTCGATTTTATTAAAGAATACAAAAGCTCCTCCAATGCTCACATCTTCTGACTTAGAAGCAGTCAAAGATCTAATTAACATATTTAGACCTATAGAAGCTCTTTCAAAGGAGATAAGTGGTGAAAAATATGTGACTTGTAGTAAAATAATTCCAATGGTTCACTGTCTTACGTCAAGCATAGAATTAATTCAGCCTAAGACTAAGGTTGGTACTGCAACAAAAGATATGATCAAGAGTGAAATGATAAAGAGATTTAGTGCAGTGGAACAAATAAGTATTTTAGGAGTTGCAACATTAATGGATCCACGATTCAAAAAAATTTATTTTAGAGACAAAATAGCTTGTTCTCATGTAGTGAGTAAAGTAAAGGAAATGTTAAACTCTACTGAAATTGAAAAGTCAAAAGAGACTGAAATAATTGAAAAACGAGTGCAAATCACAAATCCAGACGAGGAAAACAACATTTGGAGATTTCATGAAAAACTGATAACTGAGCAATACAAAGTTCCCGACTGTAGCAGCAGTAGTGAAATATCTTTAGACCTTAAAAGTTACTTAAATGAACCTCTATCCGATTTAAAATCAACAGATCCTATAAAATATTGGCATGCACATAGTCAAACTCTTTTTAAAAATTTAAGTAAAGTGGCTCAAAAGTCTTTATGTGTTGTGGGAACATCAGTTCCATCTGAAAGACTTTTTTCTCGAACAGGAAATATTATTACTCCTGATAGAAACAGATTAAGTGGTAATAGATTAAAAAAACTTGTATTTTTGAAAAGTTTAGAATCTCAGAATTGGAATATTTAGAATTTGAATGTTTAGACTAATATTCTAATTATAAGATTCCAAACTAGAATGTGTTTAATTTTAAAATAAAGAATTCATTTTGTTGCTATATTTTTTATTGAGTTTAAATTTAATTTCATAATTTACATAGAGTGAATCGATCTTCGATCTTTACGGGATCGATATTTTTCCCTTCCGATTTTTCTTGTATCGATCTTTGGCTCTACCTTTTGAATCGATACTAAGAATCGATCTTCCTTGCCAAGATCGGAAACCCTAGTCCGACGATATGGTATGGAAATGGTATGGTTTTGACTCCGGAACCGAAGAAAGAAGATTATATTTTGAGTTTGTAAATTTTATTAGTTTTGTAATGATTAGGTAGGCGGATAAAGGAAAAATAAAGGCAAACGATGTTCACCTTTATTTTTCTTTCCGAAGTGAGGGGGATGTAATGAAGTCAATTTTCATTATTATATTTTTCAACTAATTCTGGGTATTAATTTCAATTTTTACTTAATTTTAACTTCGTGGATATGCCCTGTATATCATCAGTTTCATCGCTGTTCAAACCATCATCGAGATACTTTGCCTGCGCGCGCGACCATGTTGGGATTTTCTGATGTGGAAGGGCATGGCGACGACTGAACCAGCTCCGAGATTGAATTGAAATTTTAGTTCCTAATATACCGATTTATCGAACAGACTTGCTTTTACACCGTCAAATTGAATAGTCGATTAAACGATAGATACGATTCCGAAATTTATTTCACGCCGCGAATTTACCGAAAGAAGTTTGTTGTCATTTTTTTTTATAATTTCTTTCTTGCCCGAGTCTTTAAGCCGTGCTATTTGAAACCGATTTAATTTGATTTATTTTTAAATAACAATATTCCGTGTTGAGTTAGGAATTGGAATTTGTTTTGATTGTGAAATACATTAATTTATTCCTTTTCGTTTGTAAATATTTTAAAACAATATATGTGTCAATGTTAACTGGCCGTATTACTGGTTGTTAATTCCTAAATTTATTTCCCCCTTATATTTCAGCTAGTGATTAATTCTGTACCAGCCCAAGCAACGATTAAAGCCCGTTACTTGTGGCCTACTATTACCTGTGTCTAAGTGACCTTTGACCCCTGGAATTTTTCATCTCCATCTGTAGCTACCCGAGTACTTTCGACGCCGTTTCGAAAGTTCGTGGAGTAAACCATCACCAAAAATCTGGCGCTCGAGAACCGCCCGTAACCAGCGTCATTCGTAAGGAATCGTTTTCTCTGTGGCGAGAAAACCCCTTACACTTTTCACCATTTCAAAAAAAAAAAAACTTCATTTTATATTGACTTACATATAAAATTGACAGCACTGACGTTCGTCCTGCCAACTACAGTCAATTTGGCACAATGTATTAGAAGGACAGAAATTTGACCATTGCTAATTTGCCTCCTTCTCTCTAGTCTTCATAGATGTGACATAGGTACATAACATAAATATCAGGCAACAAAATTATATATCAGTACCTTGTCATAAAACTTTCAAGGTTCGTTTTCATGTAATTTTGGAAAATACTGTAATTTAATATCAGAAAATTTGAATAATGTCTGTATCTACGTTCAAAACCAAAATAAAACAAATTATGCTTAGTGGTACCTTAAAATTTTAAATTTAAATTCATTCATTTAATTCTGTCTTCACTATTTATTGTTTTATTTTTACTTTTAATTACCTAGCTTTTATGGTCTAATTTCTTTCTCTCTTAACAGGTTTCAGTTAGGGGTGCAGAACAATTCGATAACAGGAAACAGAAAGCTATAATGAAGTAAGTTTTTGCTGTCTTCTACACAAAATTTAACAAATAAAGGTTTTTATTACATATTACAAGGGGCAAGAGAAAAATAAATGGCACCAATTATAGCATTAATTTTTAAATTAAAAAATTGGGTCATATCCCCTTTTTCCTACCTTTATTCTATGGCTATTTTCTAAAATAAACCGATAAATTATATTAGCATTTTCTGAAATAAAGATTATTATCCGATTTAGACCGAAAAAGAACAAAGTCTACGACGACGACAACGATTATTTTAAAACGAATTCAAAGAAAAGCAATGCCAAAGAGGACAGACAAAAGATGGTCGTCGCTTTGGATTTCGCTACTAGGAGAGTAATCGAAAGTACGCAGGAAGATGGAGAGATAAGGCGAAGATTGCTGAAGGATTCCGTCGAGCATTTGAAGAGAGTGGAAGAGATGTACAAAGAGATACAACAGCGGTCCGAGATGTCCTACCAAAGATTAAGAACTGAGGTTAGTAGTGTTGAAAATGTTTTATTAAAAAAATCCAGAGTTTATTTTGTTGTAAGTACTGTAAAATACGCAGGGTGGTCTTTGAATGCGGTGCAGCTTAAATATTGTCAATTATGAATTAAGAAATGCCTTTCCTGAGCATGGGACTATTAAACAGTCGGCCAAATCACCATATTTGACACCATTCAATTTTTTATTTTCCTTAGAGGAGAAAATTATTCATACATTGAGCTAGTCAATTATTTTTATTGATTGAAAGAAAATAATTTAATACCTAATGAATTTTCTAGACGATTTTTTAGAATTTTTATTTTACTAACAATTTTTCTAAAAGCAAAAACTAATTGAGTCAAATTATAAATAAATATTAAGGTAAAGCAACGTTACCACAACGTCACAGACTGGGAAGAAATTGATTTTTTTGTCTTAATTTAGCTTAACCAAAAATCGTGTTTTCTGGAAAAAAATTAACAAATTTTTAAGGAATAAAGATAAATATTTTACAAAAACTTTTTTGCCCCAAAAAAATACTAGTACTGGTGACAACTGCCTTTAAAAGTTCTTTTAGTTGTTCTAGAATAAATATCGGCTATTAAATCTTGTGAGTTTGGTAATTACAAACGTTTGTTTCCCAGTAAACTTAAAAAAACTAGTATAATTGAAGACACAAGTGGATAAAAGTGTCAAGTCACAAAAATATTATTTCGAGAATAAAGTTTTAGAATTGCATTATGATATATGGCTTCATAATACCTTCCTATCTGATGAATAGCTGTTATTTTTTAAAATTGGAAATCAGAACTATCACAAATAAAAATGTGACATGGCACATTTATCCACTTGTGTCTTCAATTATACAAATTGCTAAAGCAGTAATTCTAAGATTATTGAACAAAATTTATTCTAAGGTTAAAACTTAGTTTTTCTTTTGCATTAAAGTATTATTTATTTAGAATGCAAACGAAGAACTGGTTGACCTATTGATTCAAATGCGACATAAAAAACCGTCCAGTAAAGAAGAATTGGGTGTTGAAGATTCATCAATGCCGATCATCAACTACGGAACGAGAGTCCTAGACGAGGATTTGATCGTGAACACTGATCACGGGCTGTGTTTAAGTATGCACCAGCCGTACGCCAGTCTCTTGGTTGCTGGAGTCAAAAAGTAAGACGAAAAAAACATTTATTCGATATAATATCAAAATACATAAATATACTTTATTTTTTTAACAGACACGAAGGTAGGACTTGGCCCACAACACACAGAGGAAGACTATGGATCGCTTCGGCAGCCAAAGTACCTGATGACGAGGAAATTGAAGCTTTAGAAACGTTTTACAGAGAATATTATCAAGGTATATACACAGTGTTTTCTAATTGAATGTCAATAATATTTTAGGGGGTGATTTTGGGTCCATTTTAAGCAGGAAATTTCATATGAACATGTCCTAAACGTCTTAACTTTTGAACTTGTTTTTAAAAACAAGTATTAGAAATTAAAAATTTAAAAAAACCGACTTCAAAAACGTGCAGATGCCATCACCACATCTTAACCAAATTATATGGGACCACCCCTGAGGTACCCCCTTACTAACAAAAAAAGAATCATATAAATCGGACAAGGTGGTAAAGCATTATCGCTAAACATACATAAAAAATAAAGAGTTTGAGGATTTTCTCATGGACCCAATTATTAGATTTTGAATAAATTTATATGGGACCACCCCTGAAGTACCCCCTTTCTAACAAAAAAAGAATCATTGAAATCGGACACCGTGTTAAAGAATAATTGCTGAACATATATAAAAAAAAATATCGCGACGAATTGATAACCTCCTCCTTTTTTGAAGTCGGTTAATAATTAATTTTTTAATACTATTTGTAATACCATTCTAGATATTTTAATTAAATTTGGTATACAGGTACTATGCATCAAGAGGCACATTTCTTTTTATTTCAACCAGTGGCGTTCGTAGGAAAAATTATACCAAAAATTGTCATTTAAATTTAGTAGTTTGATTGATGGGATAGATTGTACAGTGTAATAAAGTTATGGGATCATTAGGTTTTAATATATTTAACAAGCTTTCTTGCAACTGGGCGTTAATATTTCTAAAATTAATTATTTGTTTAATTTATTTTAGACACGTCTTTGAAATTCCCTAGAGAATACCCGACCAGTTGCCTTTTGGGTTGCGTCTTCGTGGAAGACTGTTTAGAGGAAGAGGTTTATAGAAAACAGTTTCCCAATGGTGAAAGTAATAGTCCTTACGTGTTAATTTGTTCCAACCCGACGATTTTACCAATATTTTATCCAATCGCCGGGAAACATAAAATATGTAAGATATAAATATTATTTTTAATATTAGCTATTTATTTACAATAATTTTTATTTTAGATTCGCTTGATAAGGACCTTCATAGATGTGCTAAATTGGCTTTACAACATTCGCATTCTTTTTAGTTATCAATATTTTTACAAATAAAAATGTTTATTTACTGAAAAATAGAAACAAAATAAAAGTTATTAAAATAATTAGAAGTAGTAGAAATACTGTTTATATGTTAAATTATGAATGTGATCAATTTTCTTGATGAAAGAGTAAAATTCGAAATCCATACTGCAATGTATTTATTGATATAAAAAAATTGCGACTAGTTTTGATCTATAAGGCCATCTTCAGACGTTGATAACTTAAAGTAATGATTAAAAAAACATCAATATGGATCCATGTTACACTTAATTAAGTTACATTTTTGCCAATACATCGACTTTTACTTTTTAAACTCTTTATTTCGTTACTCATTTCAAAAATTACATTTTTTTACTTATTTAAATAATCTCGATATTTATTGGTCTACGGACATTTGTGGGGGTATCAACAACTCATTCTTGGCTCCTTATCTTCACCTCTATCAACATCCTTGCCTTTTTTCATGTCCTCGTTTTTTCTCAATTTGAACAATTTGGCCACATGGATTGACTGAAAATTAATTTGAAATTATTTTTATATGTTGAGGTATAGCTGTTGGCTCAAATAAATTACAACAACTAACAAAAGATAGTGGAACAAAGCTCAATACCTTATATACTTACATAAACGGAATTTTCGACACCGAAAATAGATATTAAATATGATATTAATAATAAATGATTTATTGTTTACCACATAAATAAATATACATCAAAGATAAAATATTAAAATCAAATAACTTTTTAACAAAACAGAGTAACTAACTCTAAAAACTCAGACTTGGAAAGTGATTTCTGAATTTAATATACAAAATAAACACCAAACTAGTTCTTTACAATGTAATAATGATTATTATTTCTAATCTTTTTAATAATTTTTTGAAATATTTTCCTTTGGAACTACAAAATAAAATGTCTGCTCATTTGAACTATTCATAATTTGTTGATATTTATATATAGATTATTATAGATATAGATAGACAGACTAAAAAAGAGGAAAAACTTTCATTTTCAACTTTTGGAAAAAAAAATTATTCCTCAAAAAGTTTTTCCTAGTTTTAACTATAATGATAATTCAAACAAAAGTTGAATATCTCTTTAATTTAGTGAAATAATGAGCACATTTTTGTTTTAGTTTTTAAATTGTCATTATTTCACTAAAGCAAAGAGATACTTATGATTTGGATTATTATTAGTTTTGAAACAAGTAAAAACTTTTATGAAGAATAACCTGAATAACATAGTTTTTCCTCAGCATGAACTGAAAAAGAGGGAAACACTTGTATATTGATTATTCACATTTTAACCTTTTAAATCAACCTTTCCTTAACTAATCGAAAATTTCCAAATATATGTTAAAATTATGCAGTTATTCCAGTCTATAAGAGAAGCTGCATGAAACCTCTAGAAAATTCTAGTTTTTCTAAAGTTTTTCAAATAGTCAACTTAGTTTTAGATCTGAAAAATCCACTAGTACAGCACTGTATGAATTTTATGGCAATTTAATTAATTATACCTATAAATGATGGAGAGTGTCCAGTAGGCATATTTTGTAATAGTCCGTCAGATAGTGATAGGTTTATGTGCCCCATTTTCGCTCCAAGCCTCGAAGAGGGTTGAAAAGTACATCGATTTTAAGTAGAATGAAATGAAATTTACGAGTAGCTGCTGGGGATAACACATGGAAAATTCGATTTTCCCTAATAAAAACGAAAGGTTTGTTGCCCATTTTTCCATACAAGCCGTTTTCACTATATGATTAATTAATAAGACTAGGCTTCGGAAAACTAAAGGCTTTAATGTTGCATGTGGCTAAAGGGCTGAAATAAGGGCGTAATCTTCTAAGGAAAAATCGAGATTTTGCCCGATTTTTCCACACAAGCCCATCGAATGTATGAAAATGTACGTCGTCACTAGTCGAAAAACATATTTTCTTGAATGTGTTATCGCCAAGAGCCACTCGTAAATTTTCTTTTATTCTACTCAACATCGCTATACTTTTCAACCCTCTTCGAGGCTTGTATGCGAAAATGGGGCACCTAAATCGGTCACTATCTGACGGTCTATAACTTGGTCGTGCTTTCGACTGTGCAGATCATTTATATATTAATTTCTCAATTATATGATTATGGTGTAATTTTTAAAAACTAGAACTCAATGTGTCCAATGAAAACATAAGAAAAACAATTTACTCAGTTATGCTAATTCAGGAAGAATTCAAATATATTTGGGAGTCTCACAAGGCTCGGTTTAGGCCTGGTGCTTTTTATTCCATATATTAATGAAATTAGTAATATTCTGCCTGATATTAAACTAGTACGCTGGTGACACATTGCTAATAATATCTAATAAAAATTGACATACGTTAAAAGAAAATAATTATGAAAGAATCTTAATAAGTAAATTATTGGTTCGTCATTTTTTGTTCTTTAATCCACAAAAAAACTAAAATTTTGGAATTTCACACTGTTTAGAAAACACCCGAAAAGAAAGAAATTATATGAAAATGTAAAATTTTTTAGGTGGATATGTGCATGTTCCTAACTTTGTTCAATTCATGTTGAAAATTCCGTACCTGTCAAATATACCTCAAATCTAAATACTTACAATGAGGAAAGCTATAGTGGTTCCTAAAACGCAACCACCTAATACGTCGCTCCAATGATGTTTGTAGTCCGAAATTCTCGTCATGGCTACAACTATGGCCGCCACGATAGCCAAATACTGTATAACGTGCTTCAATAGGAAAGATTTTTCACATGACATTCGAGACTGTATGTACAACTAAAACAAGAGGATAAAAATATACAAGTATTAAGTAAAATTAAACCCATTTTACAGCCGTGCAAGGATGTTTGATAATGAGACATTTTTATGGAGATTGAGAATGTCTTTCTGCTCACATAATTCTAATAATATATCAGATTTTCTGCGCTAGGAATAGAAGAGTATACCTCATTACTTGACCTACGACTTGACATCTGTCTCCTGGATGTCTATGATCGAGATCACATGATGTGATAGATATCGCAAAAACTATTTTTTGCAAAACTTTGATTAACTCGTATAAAAACGGTCAGTCTTACAAAAATGCCTTGTAACAAATTTAATATTAAAAAAAAATGTTTTTATTATACTTAGCTTTAACAATAAGAGATGAAAACTTTCCTGTTTGAATCAATTTGACAAAATCTAGTCGTAGCTACTCAATCTTTGCAAGATCTCTATTGATAGGACTTTTTACGAAAAGTAATTTTTGGACTGGTCCCAACTTTAGAGGTTTTAGTCACTTTTTCACGTATTTATTTTAATAAGATATGAAAGGAAAATTCAAAAACACCGTTAAAACATATAAAATTAGTCAGTCATTTGTCGTTTCTTATTTTTTAAACTATTTTTTGCCTTGGTTTGTAAAAAATTATGCCAAATTATTTGAAAAGTGTCAATTTTTCAGACTAGTCCGTCGTACTTGTCTGTGGACTTTTCCAAGCGACCCATCATTATCAAAAATTGTTACATATTCTTGGAAATATTGTTTTAAACATTACTTACTGCAAAATAAACCATCGAATACGTAAAAAACGATGCATGACCAGATGGAAACGATAGCCTGCGAAAAAAAAAAACTATTAACCATTAACCGAGCAATGAACGCTTGCAAACCTTAATTCCTTGTTTTCTGGATTGACACATATGAATTCCTCGTAATATTCATTAGGAGTGTATCTGGTTAGACAGACGTTAGGAAGGCATCCTAGGAAAAAATGCGGTCTTAATCTTCCTATGACGTTCTTGATGCAGTCCGTAATTCCCCACAACACCATGTCCCCGAAAGAGAATAGTCCGTACATGTGGTAAAATTCGTACATCCAATAAGGATATTTTTTACCCAAAAATATTATGCTCTTGTCCTTTTTCCTCCACATGTACTCCATTATTCCCATCTACAATAATTAAATATCTAAATTAATTAATTATTTAAATAACACCATGTACATAAAACTTTGTTTAATTATGTGGCAAATTTATTTAAGTTAGAATCGTGTACAGGATTGATTATTTAATAATTATTACACGTCTTCTATTTTCACTTGTGTGATATGAAAGTTGTGGGTGGCGCCAGGCTGTTATTCCTGCCCGGGCGCCAGATTCTGATTATGCAATTTACTCTGCGACCCTCAAGTGCACCTAGAGTGCATTCTCAGTAACCTCAGTGGAGTCAGTATCTCCAGGTGGTCGTTTGTGTATGGGGTAGTACCTAAATAAAAGTTTAAAAAATATGTAATATCCACGTTCCCCTCAACCTAAAATGGTGCAATTACTTTTGTACCTCTTACTCTCAAGGTTATTCTGGACGAGCTAGATAAAAGGGGATGTAGTTGAAAGAAACAGGAAATTTATGAACAATAATATATTTCAAATTAACGGTAAACGGTGGGGCAATATTAAACATTAAACCCAAACAATAACGGTCTTCATTTATGATAAATTACCCACAAAAATAATAGCCAAAATCAACATAAGACAAGTGCTCTTAATAATTCAGAGTTTCTAATTCAATTAGCAGTATAATTGAACGGCATTAAGCAGAAAGCTACCAACCCTCAATAGTGACAAACTGAGATAATAGCTATAAAGCTTTTGTTCGTTTAAGATGTGGGATATGTAGGTTAGCATTTTATAGAGTATATAATTAACTGAGGCTTGGTAGGTTCTTAAAGAATGCAGAACATGTATTTTATTACCCAAATCCACACCCAACCCAATTTCTGGTATATTACGGGTTGGTAGCTTTCAACAATTTTTTTTTTATAAATAGAAAAACGGCGGCGCTAAGTACAACGGTGTTAGCCCAGTTATTGTGGTCGGATTTCGGAAAAATTAATAATTAAAATTCACCTATTTGGGCTGTCGTTCCCCGATTAGAAGATTATTTTCAAAAGAAATGCTCTCTACTACACGCGAAGCAGTGACGGCTGTGTTTAATGGATTAAAGTTTCCACTGGTTACCGAAGTAGCGGAGGATTTAGCGACACGTGGGAACCTTGGACTTAAAAAAATGTTGAAAATTGTCGAGAAATCGAAATTCGAAAAATCAGTAGGTATATCTGAAAAATAAGTGGCTGAAATAATTTCAAAATTCGGATACAAATCTCAAATATCCCCCTACGAATTATCAAGAATATTGGAAGATTAATAATTATGGCGCTTTTAAGAAGTTCCGTCTTTGAAACGAGACTGCTATAAAACTAGACTGGTCTTTCTTACGAAAGTTTCAAAATTCTACACGTGATCCAAAATTCGGTTTTAATTAAAGGCAAAAGTTTCTCGGACTATAACAAAAGATTTATTTGATAAATTTTACTGAGTGACGGTCGATCAGGATAACAACCAAAATAAATATCGATGGAAGAATAATTACTAGTAGCACAAAAGCTTACCTTAAATTTTCACAATAGCTGTTTTTGTTCACTTTCTCGGACGGTGCGGCAGTACGAGCAGGAGTACTAGCAGAAAAGGCAGCAAAAGAGAGCGATCAAAAATAGCGGCAGCAAAGAGAAAGAATCCTCGACGAAGCTGGTTTTATATTTTACGTTCAGACTTATTCGGTTTCCGAGTGGTTCGAAGTGGGGATAGCTAAGATTTACAGCTCTGAGGATTGAAATAATGGCCTTTTTGACATTTGCGAAAATAATAAGATAATTTACATGAATTTGAACGTTTAAAGCTGAATTCGAATTTCAGTAAATAATTAAATATTTACTACGGGGGCTCTCACAAATGTATAAAAACGGGAATTTTTAGGAAATAAATTATAATTAAATTAATGGAAAATTTAATGACTTCGTCACAAAACATTTGTCTAAAAATAATGACTTATGGGAAATTTATAAAGGTAATCTCGAGGAAACGCACAGGGCTTTTTTTCCACAGGATAGAATTCTCTTTGTCGGATACCCTCCTTGTAAGAATCCCGCAGTAACGGTTCCAACTTTAAACAAATAGCGATTTTCGACAAATTAATACACTAATATTACTATTATTTTATAATAAAATAAAACACTCACTGCTAACGCGTTTAAACCAAAGCCAATTGCCAATAACCAAGTGAATTTGACAGTGCCATCTTTAACTGGATACCTTATACTGTCGTCGTCACAAAAAAGGCCTCTTCTGTACGGAGTACTCCAATTGCTAAGGATGAAATTCGGCCAGGCGACTGTAACAGAACATGTGTTTCTTTTAATAAACGTTTAAATTTAAGTTCTATGAGCGTACCATCGAATATTGTCAGTTTTTCTTATAACTTATAACAGGAGACAACTTACCAAAATTAAACAATAAAAAATCCAACAAAATCTTTCTGATTTTGATTTCAACGACATCTTCTGACATGATGCATTCGGTTAAGTCAATGTAATGATCATCTTCAACGGTTAATGAGGCTAATACTATCAAATAAGAAATAATAAAGTTAGTAATATCGAGCTGGGTATGATATACTGACACGTTATTGAAGTTCAAGAATTAGTTTTTTTAAATATATTTTCTAAAAACTTCAAAAATTTCTATACCGGGATAAAAGCCGATCTCTGGCAAAATAAATACGAATATTTGGTTGAATACTAAGAGGTCGTCAGCGGTCGGCTACTATTAAATTAAAAATAAAGCGGACGTATTCGACCGCCGTGGCAGTCAACTTGCTAATAAAATTAACATGATTAATGGGAATAGACATATTATGTATATTAAAAGTTGGCATTACTACTGTATCCAAAATATGTCTTAAACATTTATTTAATCACCTATGATTTAGACGAATATCGTGAAAAAAATGTGTTAGTTTTTCAAATTTACAATTTCAAAGACTACTGCATCATAAACAAGTTATTTATAACTTGTAAAAATATAACAAAACTCATAATACAAACCTCTCAATGTACAGCGGTTTTCGACGAATTCATACACAATAAATTTTTCTAAAATATACTATAATGAATGTTTATTTACATTACAAACATTTAGGAAGGCGCAAAGCGCCAATTTTAATATGTGTAACGAAACTGAATTGTCATATTGACAGTTTTGAGCAACGTATTAGCAAGCCGTGTTTAAAGCTATTATCGTGGATACGGCATGGCTGTACAATGACAGTCAATTAGATTATTCTATCCAAAATCTAAAGTGGGTTTTAAGCATGGAGAACCCGCGAGCAGGATTTTTTTACATATAAAAATAAAATTCTACTACGAAGGACATCTAAGTCGTTGTTAAAGGGGTAATGGTTAGCAAGTCAGCAAAGTGATTCTTTATCGAATTAGTCTGAGATTCGAGTTCGATAAAGACACTTTGCTGACGTGGTCCATACAAACTTTTATCGCCAACCGCAAATATGATTGATAAAACAGGAGATATATCACATTTTAGTATGACAAAGTAAACAAACATAAAAATAACAGCGAATACAACAGTTACAGACTATAGGGACCGTGCGTGAAATATAGAGGCAGCACTACTGCCGAACTTAGCCCTCTCTAGTGTTTAATTTTAGAATTAAATGGGGTAAACATTGCAAGTAAATAATGAAGGGTCTTTTTTTAAATATTAAATATAGTTAAAAATAGATACCGGCCCGTACCAAACAATCGTGTACATGGTCAAAATGACGTAAAATGTGAAACATTATTAAAATCTGGACATGCATATACATTTTAAGCAAAAAGATTTAAATCGCTAAGTGACAATAAATTGTAAAGTTGTACCTTAAACAAGTGTATCCAATGTTAAAATATAGGTATTTAGTAACACTGAATTTAAAAGTATTACAATAACATTTAAAAAATGTAAATTAATAAAAAAGATTGATAATAATAATTATAAATCTTTTTAGCTTTATGTTAATCGAAATGTCATTCATCCACTGGCGTTTATGAGATGTTCAATGATACATATATTATAGATTGCTCACCCAACTATAAAAAAATTATGAAAAGCTGGTTGCAATGTGCCTTTCCTAGTGCTCACTAAATAGAGCCGTTCTAGCCCAAATGTGTTAGAATAAAATTTTAGCACTTTAATCTTTAGAAAAAGATAATAATTAAAGTTTTACTTCAAGACATGTCATTATGTATTTGGAAAGTTGAGTTTTCATGTAGTTAAATAATATTAAGAGATCTAAACAATTTTTATAACAGATGGATATAAATAATTTTAGACTACTATTTCAGAAACAATTCTACATAAAATACATAATTGCAATATGTAATACAATTTTGAAAAGGTAATGTAAACAATTTTGATATGAGGTATGAACAACTTTGGTAAGAGTTGTAATTGGACACTTATCTATTATTCTGAATAATGTTTAATGGTAATGTCACTAAAAAAATTTACAAAAAATCACTGGATTTTTAATATTTTAAAGTTTGTTACAATCTCTTTTGACAGTAATTGCAATGTATTATTTATGATTTGTTTATTTTAATAATAAATGAGAAATAGTTGATAAATTGTAAAGAGGGCCGTGATATTTTTTGTCAAATTGGATATTCTTATTTCATAACATTCTACATTAGTTTTAATCAACAGAATAAACCATTATCTGTAAAATTATATTTATATAAAATGGTCATTTAAATATGTAAAAATCTTAATGACAAGAAAACACTAAAGATTCTAATTTTTCTGTAAATGATTTCTTTACAACTAAGTGCTCAAAATTGATACAAGCTATAAGATAAAAAGAAAACTTTGCCCAGTGAAATACGCTTTTCGTCGTCTGATTTACATATGGATAAGCAATCTTTGTAATTATGTATATCATTGGGTGTGAGGCATAATTGTGCTCTGTGGAAATTTATAAAATTTCTTTACTATCGAATGAAATCCAGGTTTCTAAAGTGATGTGTTTGTACATCCACGGATGCAACAAGTTTTTTCGATATTGATATTACGAAAATAATTCGACTTCATTTTATTAATAATTATTAAACAATAAATGCCGTATAAAACATTAATAAATACCCCCCAAAAAGTTCACATTTTTGTCACCAGTTAGCGTTAAAGTCATGACGCACGGTCCCTATAGGGGTTATGATGGACAAGTAATGTTATTTTTAACAGACACGTTATTTGTAAACAGGTTGTTATTTCTATGTGTTTATAAAATAACAGACCTGTTAAAAATAACACAGATTGTCAATTATAACCCCCTATTTCTGTCAGACGGCCACGTCTGTTGATACATATCGGCAGATAAAATATTTGATTTTTACAGTGAAATAAAGTGTTTGTGTACGTCCGCAACTCGATATGGTAATGTATATGGCTTTATTGACGGTTGGCGATAAATGATAAATAAATGAAATTTTGACATTAGAGTCCTAGTCTTTATACATATTTCTTTCCTCACTTTAAAAATTTTAAATTGCAGTTCATCTTTTTTGTTGTTTATAATAGTACATAATATGGAAGAGGCATTAGAAATTACCATTTTAGAAGGTTTAGATGACGACAATATTAAATATATTATATTAAAAAAATTCGAACTGATACGAATGTTGACGAGTGCACCCGAAAACTATAAGGTCGCCATTAACAGTTGTCCTTTTTTTTTTTTTGTTTTATTTCTAATGTTAAATAGTCCATTTTACTCGATATGCAATTACTGGATATTTTTTGGAGAGCACTTTTAGAGTCGCTGAAAATAACTGCCTTCCTAATATTCTCAGTTATAATAAATATAACCGCTTCTTTAATTGCATATATTTCGGCCGAACAGATTGAAAAGAAATTTGGAAGTCGAAAAGATTTGGCAATTAAATTTGTAGAAAAGATACCAGCGCCAGTTTTGCCCTGCCGATCTTTGGATCCATCAGTAAATAAAAATGTATAGTTGGGAAATTTTGACTTTGCTTCTATGATAAAATTTTGCTTATTGAATGTACATTTATCTAAATTTAATTCCATAAAAGGAATAGTCGCAACCTGTATTTCTATGGGAAATTGAAAGCACGGAAAGGTATCTAAAAAATGAATTTCTTGAAGAAAAGGCCTAATAGCATGGAACGCTTCCATAATTGGTGCAATTTTATTGGCAGGCCAAAACTGGACGTCTCTCAAAAAGCATTCGTGCAAAGAACTTATATAGTAATAAAAGGATTTTTTATAGGATGAAATCTTAGTTACGTATTTTAGTGCTAACCAGCTCCTTCGAGACTTTAAGGTTGACTCTCCACTTTCAGATAGCAATATATTAGTTGGTGTTGAGCGCATCATACCTAATACTACACGAATAGCTTGATATTGCATTTTATCTAATCGTTTCAAGAGCTCTTGCGAACAACGGCCGAAAAGAATACTTCCAAAATCTAGATGACTACGAACCAAGGCTTTATAAATCATAAGAAGAGTAGATGGGTGGGCACCCCACCATGTACGGCATAAGCATTTCATTAAGTTAATGCCTTTTAGTGCTTTGCCACATATGTACTCTACATGTGGCTTCCAGTTCAAATTATGTTGAAAAGTAACTCCTAAGTATTTAATTTCATTTTTCCAGGGAATTTTGTTTCCATTAATTTTAATGTAATCTAACGGGTTGGGTTTACCTTTATTTTTAAAACAGATAGCCATACATTTTGAGGGAGATAATTGTAGTCCATTTTCCTCCAAATATGATTTAATATTTTTAAGTGACTCATTAACATCATTGATCATCTTTTTCCGATTATGACCAGTGCAAATTAGAATAAAATCATCTGCATAACCTAGTAACTATCCACAATGGACAGGCACCATCTTTAATAAAGTCAGTTCTAGAATGTAAGTGATCTACGCATGCTCAGATGTCAAAATAAGAGCGGCACTCATAATGACTAACCTTAAGTGAACTTGCAATAACTCTCATCAAATATTTACACATACTTTGATTTTCTTTTACGTGTAGTCCCTTTGGTCCATACTATGAAGACTAGAGATAAGGAGGCGAATCGGCATACTCAAAATATGGTCCCAAAAAACGCATGCTAATTGAGCTTCTATAATTAACCGCATGGGCGCTGGTACTGCACACGGTGTTTAAAATACATGGCTTCTTATGGGATTTTTTTTGTGTCATCGGCTTCAACTGCTAAGATTATTTCGCCTCGTGTTCTGTATAGGCTTTGTTACTGTTTCCCAGCGCCACTTTAGGAACAGCATTAATCCAACAGTGAATGGTCGAGTGGGGAATCCTACCAAGGCATCAGAATTAATTTTAAATAATTAAATTAAATGAAAAAATTCCGGCCAACGGTGAGATTCGAACCTGGGACCCTTGGATCCACAGGCAGAGACTCTACCACTGAGCCACCCACCCCCCTCTTATGGGAATTATACATAATTTTGTCAAAATAATAAAAATAAACTTGTTTATAGCTAAAGAACGCACAGAACATACTGTTGTTTTTATTTCTAAATAAGTCTTGCATGTTTTGATAAATTATTTAATTTTATCTATGGCACCGTCAGAGAAAGTAAATAAAAACCGCTATTGTGAATACCTCCGCTTGTGAAAATTTAATGTATATAAAATGCAAATTAGGTATGTATGATCAAATTCAAGAAGGTTTCTTAAATGCTGAAAAGTACAATTTTGTGGCAAATTTTTTTTTGAATTGAACCAATATATAGTTTTAAGAGTAAAATAAAACACAGTTAACAAATTTTTTTATTGTTGTAATACAAGTATAAAGAGAGATTTGGGAATGTACATGGTATTACCTCATCCTTTAATTTCAGCTTTCCCCTTTTTATTTTGCAGTACCATCAGTAAAAATAG